TTTAATTCAAGAACAGAGAATTGATTATCAAATTCAACAGTCGGTAAGGTGGTTTCAAAAGATTCTTCTTTATCGTCTGTTGACTTTGTTGACCAAGACTCAACTTTTTCGCAAACATTATCCCAATTATCATCTTGTTTTTGGGTTTTCTTGAAGCATTTAAAGAGTTTTTTAAAGAATTTCATGTTGTGTATTGTGTTGTATTTGTAAAATTCAAGAGTGAATTGGAGGTTGTCCCCGTCAAAATTCTTGCTGTTAAATAAACTTTCCTTTGCAAATCTTGCAATTGTATTTGTCATCATGATTACTGATTGGTTCTTTACGCATTTTCTGTTTATTTTGGCTTCTTTTAAACCGGTTTTCTCTAATCCCATAATTTATAAAAAATATATAAAGGCTTTAAATTACTCAGTTAATTTTTAATTAATAATTTTAATAAGGTGAGAGAGTCGTTACTGTGTCTTGCTGTTTATCGTCTAATCATTCACATTCACTAACTCTCATTTTCCCTCCTTATTATCCTTGAAACTGGGGTCTGCTAACGCTGACGCACTTTTCAAGCATAATGTCTGATAAAAATTCTGATTTAGATGATGCTAATTCTGATTCTACCTCTAACGACAAGTTATTGAAAAAAGAGGAATTTTGGTGGTATCGAAAAGATGAAACCGTGAATTATCGAAGGCCTTTGATGTTTCCTGATGATAATAGGCATATAACAGAGTATTTGCAAGTTAGAATATCACGAAGTAAAAAGTTTTTAATCGATCGTTCTCGCAAGCCTCTTATCAAACAACATAAATTCATTATTGAAAAAGACAACATTATAGATGAAAAGAGCAAAAAATTTCTATTAGAATTACTCTATCCCAATATAAATGTTGAAAATATTAAGTTTAAGAATGGTTGTAAATTTGATCTTCGTGATCTCAACATTGAAATAATAAACAAATAAACGCATGTTTTAATATCTGATATGAAGCAAATAAATAAATATTGTTGTAATTTGCGGTTGAAGGTTACTTTGTGAGATGTGGCGAAAATGAGGCCGATGTTAGATATTTTGCAAACTTTAGTTTGCAAAATATCACATCACCGAGGCGTTCGTCACATCGTAGCAAAGTTACTGCACAACTTTTGCCCAAGCTTTTTTTGAAAAGCGCGTCCAGCGAAGCGACCCCAGTTTCAAGGATAATATTAAATTATCAGGAGGGAGCGCTATTTGCTCCCAGCGGCCAGCTAGGGAGCAAAGAAGCGCGCTGCTATCGGGTCAGGGGCACCTAGACACCGAGAAGCAGCAAGATAAATCTTTTAAAACTAAACAATAAGCTATTAATTTTAAAATAGAACATATAAAAAAACCGGTAATCGCAATGGATAAAGCATTGAACAGATTATTTTTATGTTTGTTTTGCTAGAACAATTATGCATACGTATTGAGGGCTGCGTAGTTTTACACAATTTATCGACGATGTGGGAGGCGATGACCAACGACGTTCGGTCATCAATTGGGGGACCCGCATCACAGATTAATCAACGTAGAACCACAGAAGCACTCAAACATGCGCATAATTTACAACCACACCATAAGCAATTGCGAGAACAGTAGCAAAGGGGCCGCCCGCTCCTGTAGGGCGAACACTCAGTTGTCAGCAGTTCATTGTTCATTTAGAAACACTCAACTTAGTCAAATTTGTTTTTAATTTCAATAAAATACGTCATTTGCATTTTACACACATGCTTATCAGATACTATTGGATTATTTTTATTCATTTTCTTTGTTGATCAGATAAGAACAACACAGCTGGTAAAGGATAGGAAAAAATCTTTAGAATTCGTGTACGTCGCAAAGAAAAAGAGACTTTAGCTGCTTGTATTT